TCCCTCCCTCCCTCCCTCCCTCCCTCCATCCCTCCATCCCTCTCTCCTCCCCTCTCTCCCTCCCTTCCTCCTCCCATCTATTCCTCCTTCCCTCCTTCTCTCCCTTCTTTCCTCTCTCCCTCCCTCCCTTCTTCCATCCATCCCTCCCTCCATCCTTCCCTCTTTCCCTTCTTCTCTCCCTCCTTCCCTCTCTCCCTCCCTCCCTCTCTTCCTTCCTCTTTCCCTCCCCCTGTCCTTCCATCCCTCCTCCCTCTCCCCTCCTTCTTTGTCTCCCTACCGACTCTCTGCCCAGAAGACAGTTGGAGTGCTATGGATGGAACCTAGAACCTTGTGCTTTAAACCGTCCCACTAAGTTATATCCTCACCCTCTAAGCCTGTGTTGTGCTTTTATGTTTTTTGTGTGATTATTTTATTTCGTTTTGCATAACTCCCTTCTAACACATTGTAACATGTATCAGAGCTTTCTTCCTTTTCAAGTGCCGAGCAATGTCCTTTAATTGGCGGAGTGTGCTCTGTGTACCAGTTGATGTGTGCTGGGTGTGAGGGTGATTTCTGCCTTTGGCTCTGAGGGTAGTGGTGCTTCTCACCCATTTCCAGAATTACTGTGACTTACCTTTTGACACCAGACATGAGCTGTGTGGCTCTCTTTGCTCCTCATCTGAACACTTGAGGGGCTTGGGCCGGAGGTGGACAGCGAGTGGCTTGCTTTGTGCCTACCAAAGATGTTCTTTTCAGCCGCTTCCTTCTGCAAGGCAGCTGGCTGTTCTCTGGAGATCTTAATTTAGGCTGGGAAGGGGGTGGGTGAGGAACTGAGCATGCTGGTCCAGCTGGCGCTGAAGGTTCGGGCAGTGTGAAGGCTCAGCATCTTAGAGGTCCAGGCATCCCAGTGTGCTCAGGCAGATGGTGCTGGCAGGCTTAGTGGCGAGCTGCACTTGGGAGGTGGGATGCACCAAATGGGGGCTGGTGGCTTTGGAAATGCAATGGGGGGCGTTGGCATTTGAGAGTCTGTCCGGTCATAGTTTAGGCTTTAGGGATGAAGCAAGGAGCAGGAAGGAATGGTGGGAATGGCTGCCTGCCAGGTTTGTAAGGTAGAGTCTACGTGGAGCTTGGATAGACAGAGGAGACACAGGCCTTAGCTGGGAGATGATGGCGGGTGTACCTGTCATGTGAGGACAGCTCTGGAGAGAGCCTGAAGCTCAGGAAACCTTGAGGGCTCACAGCGGTGGGAGTGGGCTGGTGTCTGGGGAAGCAGTGTCTCCTACAAGTGAAATGCTTTTACCACAGGGGGAAGGGAAGGATGGCAGGAACTAAGCTGCTAGGGACCCTCAAGCCAGTTATGTCCAGAAACTGGGGTCATATGCATTTGTAGTGTTCAGGGTCTGGGTGCGGAGGCCGACAGAAACACCATAGTGGCTAGTGCCAGAAACCTGACCTTTGAGGGAGACTTGAGGTTGACAGTGTCAGGCCAGAGAAAACAGCCTGCAGCCATGGAACTTACCAAAGCCAAGCTCTGGAGCGTCACTGGGACATGGAAGTTGGGGGAGATGAACAGTGACCTGGTTCAGAACAGCTCCACGTCCACTGTTTCTGGGGCAGTTAAAGGTGTGTGCAGGGGGTTGGAGAGATGGCTCAGTGGTTAAGAGCATTGATTGTTCTTCCAGAGGACCTGAGTTCAATTCCCAGCAAGCACATGGTGGTTCACAACCATCTGTAATGAGATCTGGCGCCCTCTTCTGGCCTGCAGGCATACATGGAGGCAGAATGTTGTATACATAATAAATAAATAAATTAATTAATTAAAAAAATATTTTTTTTAAAAAAAGGTGTATGCAGGAGGCCATTCAGGGTCCTGGTCCCAGCTTTGCCCCTTGCAAGATGCACAGTCTTGATCTCTCTTTGTCTCAGTGTCCTGACCCAGAATACAAAGGTACTAGTGGTTCTCTGCTTTGGACACTGCTCTTACAACTGTTGGTAAGACACGGCCTGAAGTCTGAGGCCTTGGGTGTGATGGCAAATTGGCCAGGATGTTTTAGATGGAACAGAAGAGGCCTACATGAAGCTCTGTGTTTAGGGAGGCTGCTCCTTTCTGGTCCCTACCCTTTGGAGGTTTGCAGGTTCCTTGGTGGGGTGGTAACAGTGAGGTACCTACAGCGTTGACTGCCCACCGTGGTTGGCGGAAACATGGCTAGTAGAACTGCTGGTCCATGGTAAGGGGGCAGAGCCTTCTTCAAGGCCTCCGTTGCATCCCCACAGGCCCCCGAGGCTGCCGGTGCCCTGTGGAAATGGTTTGAATTAGCTTCTCCAGACAGCCTATTTGGGATGAAAGCTGTTAGTGGGGTTTGTAAAGGGCATGGACTGGCTACATAATAGTAAAAGGCTGTCTCTAGCTGGAGGGCCTGCAGGCATAGATGGAAACACTGACTAGGAAGGAAAGGATTTCAGTGGTCCTTGCCCTTGTTCTTGCTTAGCAACCCACTTCAGTGTCTTGGCCACCCACAATGTCTTATCCAAGACTGAGCCTGTCTAAAGGGCTGAGCTTCCACGTACTCAGGGGACCTAGGGCAGCTTGGGTGTCCAGCTGGTGGGACATGCTTCCTGGGCAAGTGCAGGTCATGTGGTGGGGAGACACCTTAGAACATTAGCTTCAGGGTTGCAGAACTGGCTCAGTGGTTAAGAGCACTGATTGTTCTCCCAGGAGACTTGGGTTCAAATCCCAGCACCCACACGGCAGCTCACACTGTCTATAATTCCAGTTCCAGGGGCTGACACTGTCACACAGACATACAGGCTGACAAAACAACATCAATGCACATGAAATAAAAATAAATAAATACATAAAAAGAGCATTAGGTTCTGGGAGCGGTGCACAGCACTACTGCGAGACCCTACTAGCCACTCCGCATCCTGAACATCCGCATAAGCTGGTGCGTGTTAGTTAACTTGGTCCTGCCAACATGTTTGTAAAGTGAGTTCAGCTGTCCTCACTTTATAACTGGGGAAACTGAGGCACAGAAATCTCACAGCTTGTCAATATCACAAAACTGGAAAGGAAGAGCCAGCACCTGTGCCCAGGCTGCCTAGCTCAGCTTCTGGGCTTTCTCTTGTCTTCAGCACCTCAATACTTCTGTTGAGCTGGATGGTACCCTCAGCCCAGGGGTTGATCTCTGAGGCTGCCTGGTCAGTGAGGGGTGGAATCCAGCACGGTTTCCCATCTCTCCTCTGAGATAAGGTCTTAGACATAGCCCAGGCCCCAGGTACCACATTCCTAAGAAATGAAAGCTTCAGAAGACATCTGAGAGACGCTCCTCGAGCATCCAGTCACACAAGTCTCATAATCCTGAGTGTCTGGGGGCCAGGAAAAACAGTGCAGGAGGAGGCAGGAGGAGACGGCAGATGGCTCTTCAGTGAGTGGCCTGGGTAGTACGTAGGGACAAATACAGACGTTTTCTGGAAGTTTCCATCTCGGAGATCCTATCCGTATTCACCCTTCAGGATGTCTTGTGCTGGTTCCAATAGCCATTAATTCAGTCTTTTCAAGATGCCAGTATATGTGTGTGTGTGTGTGTGTGTGTGTGTGTGTATGTATACTTATATATCATGTATACATCGTTCATGCCATGCAAATGCTGTGCCCCTGAGCTGTCCCCAGCTCCACCATCTGAAGCCTTTCAAGTATACAGTGAGTGGCACTGGCAGCTTCCCACTG